TGGGACACTTCGTGATGTGGGGAGGGGGGTGTCTTAAAAGATAATTTTTAGCGTGAATTAATTTACGACTGACCCCTTAGCGCTTGAACTGACTATTGGGCGATTGGCGAGGAAAGTGGGGCTGAAATTCGATATAATGTGTTGTCAACGGCTACGAGTCTATGTGCCTAGTTGCATCTCGCTATGATGACGGGAAGTGGGTCAAAGTGCCCGAACATTTTTACCTTAAACAAAGACACGAACAAAAGCAAAGTAAATAAAAATAATCTAAAAATATGCATGGAGGCTTCAATGAAAATTTATTGGTAAACTGTTGACATTGCATTGTTCAAATATTACGTCCGACCAAGTTGGCGTAATTTCTCTTCACCTCTCATAACTTAAAGAATGTTTGGCGTAGAAATAAAATGAACGAATTAGAAACAAACTATAAGATAGTGATTCAGATTATTTCTCATCGAGGGTTAAAAAAAACACAACAAAAATAATACTAATTTCAATGTAGAAAGGGAAAGAGAAAGTAGAAATTGCCTCAAGCCTTCAAACCCCTAGTGCATGATTTCCTCATCACCACCAGTAACAGAAACATTGAAAATCCCATCTACATGCATAGGAGCCAAAATGATCAATAAATTGATCGTGGGCCCTTAAGATATAGAAGAAGAATAGGTTGTTTTTCTTTTGATTATGAAAAAAATGAATGTTTCACTATATTATGTTATCGCGCTTAGAAAATTCTTCTTTTTACATTCTGTGTGTACTATTTTATGTGCATAGTATAATATATTTATATAATACTGGTAAGTATTTTTTTCATTTTTCGACAAATATCATTTTTCGACAAATATCATTTTTATCTACTTCATGTTACATTATTAAATAGACGAAGCAGTGTGTGTGTGTTTTTCACCTTGCTGTTTATTTGTTCTGCGTCGCAGGATTTGTCGGATTTTTTTTTCACCGTGTCAATGTCATGCCGCCTGCCTGAATCCGGGTTTGATTTCAGCATCTGCCTTCTCTTAGATCAGTGGTTCTCAACCTTTGTAATGCCGCGACCCTTTAACACAGTGCCTCATGTTGTGGCGACCCCTAACCACTAAATTTTTATCGTTGATGCTTCATAACTGTTTGGTATAAGTGTTTTCCGATGGTCGCGACCCAAAGGTTGAGAACCGCTTTCTTAGATGATTCACCATCCAAGGTTAACGTGTTTATACACCAGGGATGCTGTTTTTTTTCTTCTTGTCTACCCATTTGCTGGGGATTTAACACCAGCGTTTGTGATTGATTCGTTTAAGACCGCTTGTCCAACCAAATTCAAAATAAATAAAACAACCTGAAACAAATGCGCCTTTAATTAAAATTTTAAACACATTTCAATTTGTAAACGCATTTCAAAGGGCTACTCTAAATAAAAGATCCATACGTATCACTTTGAAAATCGTTTTGAAATTTATTCATTTAGTTATGGTGCTTCTCAAGGTAAAAAGATGGTAGGACTTTCAGAAAAATCTCCAAGAACATGGTTGTAACATTTTTTTAATCCAAGGAAAATATATTTAAACTATTTAAAATAATCCAGAAATATATCAACGGGTACTATGGAGAGGACTTCGCTCAGGTTTGAAGCAATACTAAATATAGCACACATTGAAGGAGAAATCTGAAAATAGACGAAACAAAATAACAGACTTTGCAGCTAAAAGCCTTCGTCAGCAAAACAATTAAAACAGAGATCGGAAATTATATCTGACCTGAAACAGTAAGAGTTCTTTTTCATTTCGAAACATGTATCCTAAAAAAGACTGCGCTCTTTGTCGCAGTCCTTACTCAGAGTTCTTCCCAGTGCTATGGACACACAGAAGAAGTCCTTTGGTGTCATTAGCGGCTACGTTATAGAACAGTTTGTCTCAGCCTTTGATATAATTTAACAGCGATAAAGAGTCATTTAAGAGACATTTAAAGACAGTTTCCTTTAAATAGAGTTTACACGACCTGAGCAATTTGAGCGTATTAGAATAGAATGAACACAAGCGCATCATCAAAGGAAATGCGTTTTGATTAAGGAACCAGAAACATCTCATAACATTTGAGAATCAAATGTTTCATTTTCCTTTATCAACAAGATTGGGTGGGGAGGAGAGGGGTCTTTTAGAAACAAAATGGAAAATATTAAAGACAGAGCTCCATCAGGTTTGCATAATAACAGATGTATAAGTTAAATACAATAGCTGGGTGCAAACAGATTGGAGGGGGGTTTCAAATATCGGACAGATACCGAGTGGGACACTGTGAGTTTACCCAAGATTACTACACCAATCCCAGGTTGAGCATACAATTAAATGAGTTACCAGTTCGAATTAATGATACACAACGTGCGTCACGCAGTCTGGCAGACCACAACTATAGGGCTTGTCATTTAATGGCGGTAATCTATTAATAGATCTGCTGTAATCATCCAGGTACTCGGGTCCAACAAAATGTCAATACTAAGCGAAGTGGCCCTTAACCTATATCAAAACTAACGGCTATATTTTACGAAATATTTGACACAATTTTTTGTGTACTGCTTTTTTTCAAATGTGACTTTATGGCGCCTACGGCACAGGTAACAGTGAATCTAGATACAAGGTCGTCCGAATGACATGCTGAAACATACTATTAGCTGCCAAGGTTTACGAAATATTTGTCCGACATTCTAAACATAGTAGCGGTATGACGATTTTTGGTCTTAGAAATGACAAACCCTATTAGACGAAGTTTGGCTGCGCTTCTCTAGTAGCAGGGTAGCTTACGTAATGTTGCCAGAACAAAACCTTCTGGCTTTTAAGCGACTACGCTTTGAAAAAAAAATTCATGCGTAGTGAACCCTCATTACCACCACATATTCTCATTTTAACCCATTAGGACTAATTGACCTCTTTTTACCGATCCCAGTGATAGATCGAGTATGCTTGGTTGGGTCATCAAAACAATTCTATGATATTAATTGCAGGACTTAATTCCAGCCATCGTTTACTCATTGCAAAGCCTTGAGTACCACAACTGCAATTCTGCTGTAATTAATTTTTTTGTATTTCCCTCTGTTGTACTTACATATGCTGTGCTGACATTTGTTAACAGGACATATGTTTTAGAACTTCAGCTTATTGCTCTCATTATTGCTACATTGTTGTCACAGAGCATATATATAAGAATGAGCTAGGCTGACCATAACGCCAAAGAAACGTTGTGAGTCAATACGTTGGATTCTTAAAAACAGGGTCCGTGATTTTCTATTATTTTACGAAAATCCAAAAAAAAATTAATTGTGCAAAAAGGGAAATATATCCGCTTTTATTTTACTACATGTTTCAGTATTATTCACTTCCTGTATCTTACTTCAGGCAACAACAAAGAAAATCTCTTAAGTTTTTTTTTTTTTTACTATGCTCAGTTTCTTGTTTTTGTATTGTTTAAAAAAAAAACAGGATCCAGGCCGAAACGTTCATCCTATTGTCCTGTCTATTGATTCAAGCTTCAACATACCTTTTTCTACTATTTCTTTCTTAAAGTCGTGGATGCCCCTGGAGTAATAGACACGCTTTCACAGTCTGAGAAGACCCCGGGCGACACTCCTGCCTTTATTACAGACGCTTTATCAGAAGCCGTGGCCATCAATCCAAGATGATATAACGCTTTCATATTGATTGTAAAATATGTGAATAGGTTTACGCAAGAAGAATTTGGCGCAATAGAACTGCCAACAAACATATTTTAAAAAGATTTCATTAAACATTTTTGCATTTTGGCCGTAACAAATGGAGATAACTTTGAACTTGATGAACAGGAGACGGGTCTAACCATTCAAGACTGGTGTGCTGAACAAGATGGCATGTTTGAAAATCATTTAGGAGAATGCAGAAACAGAGCAGTTTTGTTTGACAAACGCACAAAAGATGTGAGTAAATAAGGAAAGCGCTTGACGATTTCATTACAATTTTAAACCCTGAGAGACCCCAAAATAGTTCCATGTCAGGACATTTAGTCTGAGGGACCACAAAGTAGGTCCAATGTCAGGACATTTTGTCTGAGGAACCATAAAATAGTTCGCATGTCAGAATATATTGTTTGATAGACAAAAAAATAGTTCCCATGTCAGTACATTTTGTCTAAGAGACAACAAAATGGATCACATGTCAGGACAATTTGTCTGAGAGACCACAAAATAGTTCGCTATCAGGGTAGGGTGTCTGAGAGAAAGGCCCTGTTTTTCTCCCACTAAATATTTCATGAATTCTATGACATAAGGCTGTGTTTGATACGGTAAACGTACCCACTGGGAAAATTCATCACCCCATGTCCCGACAATATTTCAACCTAATATGTGCACCAACATTTTGCCTGGGTATGATGCTGCTGGATGAAAGAGTTCCCCCTTCCACTATCCTTACACTATGCCGGAAGAGAGCGTCCAACAGGTCAGGGGGAGATTCACGGTCTGTCAGCGGGGAAAACCCGGCGTCTGGCTCGTGTGGAGGTGTGCCAGTGAGGGGGCATTAAGAGCTCACACTCGAAGGCCATCCGACGCCATTTCGCAATGTGACGTATTTAGTAGACAAGAATTGGACAACACTTTAATTTTTCTTTTAAAATGAGTTAGTCTTGTCTCTAAATTATAGTTTTAAACTTCAAATTTATTACGAGTTATTTACACAAAATTCAAGAAATAAACAACTCTTAATTAAATAAAATAAATTATTGAACAAAATGTAGCCAAAAAATGTATTTTAATGAAAAATTCAAACTAAAGTCACCTTTGTTTAGGTTTATTTATTTATTTTAAAGTATTTAAAATTAAAAATCAATGTATATAATATATATATATATATATATACATATATATATATACATATATATATATATATATATATAAAATTTATAAGCACTTTAAGAGCAAAACATACAAGAGACCTAAAAAAAACGCTCTATATATAATCATTGCATAAATATTTATATTTCCTCGTCATCATGATAATGTAACAAAAATAATTTTAAAATGTAAATTTATGCTAATATTATAAACACACAATAATTATATCTAATAGAAAAAAATGTAACACACGGTAAGTATAAAATATGAAAGATGCATGTAATAATGAACAGTGAGCCTTTCATTTCTTTATCCCTCGCATGAAATCAACAGAGTCAAAATTCATTTTGAAATTACTTTTTTTCTTAAGCATGATGAGAAATGTGTCATTTGGTTTGATAATTTTTTTTTCTTAAATGTTTTGTTATTCTAAAATTCTAAGCCATACTTTCCTTAAAATACGTGAATAGAAGAGAAATATTTTAAACTAGATTTAGCCCGCGAAAACATTGGCGACAGCAATGCGTGAACTTCCCATCTAGTAAAGTCACCTGACAAAACATGAACTCAAGTTACGCACATTTAAGAATCCCAATATTCGCTACAACCCCTTTTCCCCATGATACGTCACTGCACACTTTTTATTTCACGCCCATGAACTATATTAATATTCTCATGTCCCAACCACTTTTAAACCGAATATTTGTTTACACAATACTTAAATTGAGACGATTTCATTTCCGAAAAGAAAATAGTACAGTACGCATCAAACGCAAGTGCGTTATTAAAAAAAATATATATATCATTTAGCATAGTTATCAGGAATTATATTTTACGCGCTAGTAAACTCATTATTGAACCACACTCTGGCGAATCTATAAATAGCCTGCGTGATGTTTGATCCGTATTTTTTGACATTTGCTGGCGAATTATATATATAGATTGTTCAGACTTAAAATGTTAAGAGTGTAAGGCTTGTTTAGTTTTTCGATAAATATTCATTGAGGTTTTATAGCCCATGCTTGTATATAATTTAAAAAAAATACGTAGATTACTCAAGTTATAGGCCTGTATCATGAAATCATTTTGGAGATATCTTTTAAAGTTTAGAGCAATTGCTTTCCAAACGTTTCCGATATAAGGACTATTCTGGTTGGTTCGAATTTTCTTTTAGCAAACAATAAAGAATTCACTTTGGAAGATGAAGGAGTTAATTTGAACCAAAAATACTCCATTCAAATAATACAAACATTTCAATAACCAGGTTTATCATAATTTATGCCTTTGGTAGTTCTTTATCGACAATGTAAGCAGGTGACATAAATAATATTTAATTTTATCTACCCTTTGTTTATTTATCATTGACATCAGAGCTATTATTAGATAATATGGGGAAAATGACATAATATGAAAACAAAAACATAAAACCCTGTTTTTACATTAAAATGTATGTTTTTTTTTGCGGAAAAAATATCCTTCATAATTATGTTTTGAATAATGTAAAAAAATTATACAGCACAATTTTTTATTCCAGACTAAAAGTAAAAAAAAAAGTTTCGGGTTTTTCGAAAAAAAAAGCCTTCTCAATTATATCATGAAATCCTATGAAGTTTTTTCAGTTCATATTCAAAGTAGATACTTTTGTGAGAGAATATTCTTTACTGAGTGCTAACAACATTTTTGTTTGACATGATGACAGTGCCGGCTCAAAATACCGGCAAATTGGGCGGTTGCCCGGGGGCGCCATGTGCTTACAAAAAATAGTAAAAAATCCTTGCATGTGGTTGCCATGGAAGTAAAATAGAAAGTTCATTAAAATATTTGCGAACTAAAGGCTACAAAAATGTCATCCATAAGATAATTGTTCATTTTGTACAAATACAAGTTCAGAAAATAATTTTATTGTTCATTCTCAGTTTAAAAAATAACTTAAAACTCATAAACTAATCCCCAGTTTCGTGGCAAATTTTTTAATGATTATACTTAAAAGGGGCGCCAACGTCAAAATTGCCCGGGTTGTCAGTAGGGCTGGTCCTGCATGGCGACATAGTGTCCCTGATAAATGGTTTATGAAGAAGAGCGCGTGATGGTAGATTTGGAAATATTGTTTTTGTTACTAAGTATTAATAATACACTTAAAGAAATCTGATTATACAAGCTTCGTATAAGCACACAAATATTAGATTGTGCAATATTCACACATAGAAGGGAGGTGTTGAAATAGGTAAGTAAGTAAGAAAAAAAAAGTTATAGTTTGGTGAAGAGGGAGACGACAGAGAAACCATCGCATGTTAAGGATCAAATTAATTCTTTAATACAAATTATATAAAAAACAATATTTATTTTAATAAGAAAGATTAAAGTCCATTAAAATCAAAAAGTTCATATCTTACACGGTCTATTTAAAAAAAAAATTGCAATGCCAAATAACTTGTTATGTAATTTTTAACTCTTTAAATGTGTACAATTTTCAAGGTAATCAATGATCGAAGTGTCAATTGGTTAGAATTTCTGAACAAAAAAATCTTTAAGTAGTTAGATATACTAACATATTTAAAATTATACAATGTTCCTTAGCCACATTCAATTAAAGTTTTTTTTTCAATTTTTTAATGTATGTTTTAAAATGATACGTATAATTTATTAAAAAGAAAAATGTTTCACATCCATTTTTTTTCCAAAGAGCTTTGTAAGTGTTTTCTTCATAAGATCATGCACTTTATTGTACGGTGCATCTGCTTGTACTCCTTTCTTCTTCTAATTTTCTTCTTATCTCTTCTTGTGCTTGTAAAAGTTCATTCATCTTTTCATCATTTCCTTTCAAATTTTGTCTCATTATTTCATCTCGTCGATCTGTCTCTTTTTTAAAGTTTTTCCTTTCTACAGATATTTTTTTGTTCATTTTTATATCCGTTTCAAGTTTCCCTTTTAGTGACCAAACTGTGTTTTGTATGTCTTTGAAAACATCCGTTCCTTGGTCTTCTTTAATAATTTCATTGATTAATTCTTGGACAGTTTCCAACGTTTTCGTCAACATTGGCACTTGATCATCTGGTTCATTGCGTTCAATCTTTTCTATTTCAGACATCAGATTACTTATTTTGGACATAAATCTTTTCTTGATGCTGTCTGAGCCCAACTGTACCAACAATGCTGTGCGAGACTTTAAAGCCTTTTCAAAATAATAATTGGTATAGCGACGATTTTGGGCGGCAATCCGGTCAACAAGTGCAATCAGCTCGTCAACTTGTTTTTCTTTCTTCTTCGGGTCTTTCGTCATGTTATCAAACAAGACGATTCTGTAACCGCAATCATGGAAGACATCGCTGATACTCTCAGACTGATCATAAATCCATTTTTGAAAATCAAAATCATTTTCTTCAGCTTCAAACGTGTCCCCATTTGTCATGACTAAAAGGCAGAAGTTTTTGACGAAATCTTCTCCAAAAATCTGTTTCAGCATATGTATTGCATCGCTCTCTTCTTTAGTAAATCTAATTCCATACTTTGCAACTAATATGCAGGCGTTGTAGCCTCGAGGATTACTTTCAACTGCCTCTTCTAATTTTTCTGTAATTTTCCTTGTAGTGCTACCACTGACTACTTCACTCAGGGCGGCTGTATCTAGTACACCAGGTGCGTCCACCACGTTTAGAATCATGTCTTTAAAAACGCGAGACTTTCTCTCTATTCCACTGGTAACAGAAGTTGATTTAGAGCTAGCAACAAATGCCTTATGACCAAGGATTGAATTACCAGTTGCACTTTTTCCATTTCCAGTTTTTCCAAGTAGAAGAAGGTCATATTCTTTAGCGGGCTATAAAGAAAAAGTTTACAAATCATTTATTTATTTCATAGCAATAAATAAATATATATGTAAAAATGAATTTCTTTACGTATGCATGTCCCGTATGCGCTCCTATACATTCATGCGATTTCGATTAAAATTAGTTGAGTTGTTGTTTACAAGCCTGCAAATTTTAATGAGTCAATACGACCTTTTAAAATATTCCTTTTTTGGCCGTTAGAACTAAATTTTTTTATTTTTTTAAAATATCTATTTAAAAAATAATTTCCATATGCACTCCTTTAACATTCTTACATTTTAAATAAAACTTTAGAGAATTGTTGTGCACACGTCCGCAAAGGTTTCTGAATTATTACAACTATTTTAAAATATTCCGTTTTGAGCCAGGGGTCCTAAGATTTTTTAAAATTATATAAGTTATATAAATATAATTTTAAACCGTATGTGCTCCTGTACCTTTGATGCGATTGAAATAAAACTCTGTTGAGTTGTTGTCCACATGCCCGCAAATTTTTCTGGATCATTACGCCCCATTTAAATTATTTTATTTTTGTGTGTGGTTACATTAGCTATATAAACATAATTTCAAACACAGCTAATTCATGGGTGGATAGAATTTTAATCAAATACATATAGACATTTTTTTAGCTTGTTTGAAACATATAGAATAGGGTTTTGAATTATTACAACCATTCTAAAATATTCCGTTTGTGGACAGGGGCCATGCATTCACCCCCCCCCTTTTTTATATTAGCTATATAAATATATTTTCAGCATGCATTCCTAAACCATTCATCCGATTGTGATTAAAATTTGGTGAATTGAGGTGCATTACCGAAAAGGTCTCTAAATTAGAACAATTATTTTAGCTTATTTCATTTTGGGCCAGGAGCCATTTAAAACTTTTTTCTTATAAGAGCTATATTAACGTAACCTCAAACAGAGCTATAGCATAAGTGGATGGAATTGAATCTAAGACAACGAGCGACATTTAAGTTTATGTTACATAGTAAGTATTACTACCACCATTGTTCAGTATTCCGTTTTTGGGGCGGGGGCCCTAAATTCGTTTTTATTTACTATATATGAACTATAAAACTATAATTTCCATTTGCATTTCTATACCATTGATCCAAATGCGATAAGACGTGGGCGAGGTTTTGTGCGCACGTCCGCAAAGGTTTCCTAATTTAGTACAACCATAACACAATATTCTGTTTGGGGACGGGGGACCTCAATTAATTTTTTTCAAAACTTTAAACCATAAAACATGTAAGTTCAAACAGAGTTGTTAAATGGGTGCATGGAATTGAATCAAATACAAACAACGACATTTCAGTTTCTGTGTTACATAATAAGTATGTCTCTGAATTAGTGCAACCATTTAGCAATATTCTGTTTGGGGCAGGGGCCCTAATTCGTTTTGTTTTCTTAAATGAGCTTCATCAATATAATTTCAAACGGAACTAGAAAAAACAATTAAATTAGATTGTTTAGAACCGCCCTTGAAATAATGCCAACAGGCAGCACATATGTAGTAAGAGCAAAGAAAACAAGTTCCTCTATGTTTAGTGTGGGGAGTCTTTCGTTGCTTTTTAAAAAAAAGTCTTGGTATTTTGTGAAGTAAGAGTAGGAAATGACGTTGTGAACATGTTATGATTTTGTATAGCAATGATTGAGTAAATCTATCATAAGGTGTTAAAATTTCGGAATTGGTTTGTTTTATAAAAAGACATTTGACAAGAATCAATTGTTTGTTAAGTAACTAAATTACCCCATAGGCAACGAAAATAATTATAATATATGTAAGAATGAACTAGAGTGACATAACGCCAAAAGGGTGATACGATTTAAGTACGTTCGGATTCCTAAAAACAATCATAGTTAGTTTCTATGAATTTACGGAAATCGAATAAATTTAAATGCGCAAAAAATATTTTAAATCCCCTTTCATTTTATTAAAAGTTAAAGTTATATTATTATAAATTACAAATACATTTAAAGTATCAACTAAGGAACTATTTTAAGCATTTTATATGTGATTGAAATTTATGTAAAAATAAAAAAAAATAAAAAATCATGATCAAAGAATTACGCCGTATTCAAAATTATCGGGAAAACCCAAGCATAAGTCGTTTTTAGTGCGTCTTTTAGTGCGTTGTTAATATTGCGAAATAAAATTTAAATACATTTGTTCTAAATAATCACGCAAATGACGTCATAGTGCGCATAGCTCATTTCGCCAAAACTCTTAGGTTTCTTTAAATTTAATAACCACGCGTGACAAAACTGATAATGTATTTTTCCTTCTTAAATGTAAAATTAATAAATACAATCGATTGCTTTTTAAATTATTAATAAAACACACACATATATATTTTTACTTTGTATATTTTTACATTTTAAAAAATGTGCCTCTTTTGATTCCAAAAATATTCTTTTATTGAATTTTAAGCGTAATAAAAACTAACCTTTAAATATAATTTTAATAAGAAAATGTGTTTTAAATCAATCAGTGCAGCGCAGTCTTATGGAGTGTGCTCTTTTGAAGCGATAGCGCCAGAAATTATTGAACAGTTTGCCTCAATCTTTGAGGGAATTGTAAATGATAAAAAATTATGTAAGAAAAAAAATATTTTTTTTTTGTGTAAATAGATTTCGGAGAGCCAGAGTGCAGTTAGCATGCTAAAGTGACATGGACACCAGCACGATATAAATATCAAATCATTCAATCAAACAATAAAACTCCATAGCTAAAAAGCATTTACTAATCAACCTATACCTCATAAAAATTAGAACAAACCATATGAAGTGCAAAATATGTTAGCTTGGGTATTGAAAGGACAACAACCGGTGGAAGATTTTATAAATTTATTTAAATCTGGGTGTGGGATAGGTTTGTCACGTTGCCCCTGGCAGCACAAGATACGTCTCAAAATAAAGGAAGCAATTTGATAAATAATTAACCTTCTTGGGTACATTCATATCGGAGGTAGGACATAGCATATGCAAATTTTTACGTGGATGACAATATATTTAAATCCTATGGTTTTTATATTTGTGGAAAAAGGTGATGCAACATTTTCTTTTTACAAATATGGGCATGTTCATTTTTTCCAAGGTAGCACAAGATATGTCCCAAAAAGAAAGGAATTAATTTGATAAATAATTAAACTTAGTGGGTACATACATATCGGAGATGGAAAAAGGATGTAAACAATTTACGTGGAATACAATATATTTTAATCCTATGGCATTACATTTGTGAAAAAAGAGATGTTAAATTCTCTTTCAACAAATAACCACATGTTGACATGAAGATGGGTTAATATTTTCTTTTTAAAAAAATATACATTTTTTTCGTTACATTGCAAAAAGTAAAGAGGTGTTTACTTTTATGAGATTAACAATTTAATTTTATAAAAAGACAGTCAAATCTGACATAGGCGGGAAAAACAGTTGCGAGATTCTTCTTAGATAAATAATTCTTTGTTTTACGATTTTCTGCAAATTTCTATTTTTTTTTAAAAAGGCTAATATGTATTTAAATTTTTGATGAAGATATCATTATATATCGAATTCTTGTAATACAAAATATGTTTATATCATATATAGAGTTTTTGTTGTAAATTTAAGATTAGATTTTTTTATAATTTAGAGAGAAAAAAAGTTGTAATTCAAGGTCACGAAAAGGGGTAAATCTAAAGTATTTCTCTGGCGTAGTAACTGTCCCTCACTTAACTTCTTTAGTGACAAAAGTGATATAATTAATGATAATTTAGACTGGTAATTTAAGGCCAATTTTAGAGGGGGAAAAGTAGTTTAGGAGCGTGGAAGGGTGTAGGATACGCATATCATATATAGCAGATAAACACTTCTTAAAATTTAACGATGTTAGAAACGTAAATATCATTACCTTGTAAAAGTTATGAATTGTGATGAGTTTTTGCAATAGCAGTTAGAAATTATCTCAAAGGACCTACCATTATTATTCCGATAACATCGGGTCATTTTTTTAGAAACATGGAGATTTTAACACTGGAGTTTATGATTTATAAAGTAATGTAACAATTATACAGCATGAATTCTAATGCCATAAATAAACGTACACATTGGGTTATTTTTCATGTTAAAAGAAGAAATATCCTAACATTGGAGATGTATTAAATTTAGGAATATCGTAAATTATTTGAATTGAATCAAATACAGAGACATTTCAGTTTGTGTATGACGTAAGAAATGGTGATAATTATGAAATTACCACTGCCATCTAAATCTTAAAATAAATATCACAAGCATTTGTAATATTCGTAACTAAGCAATACTTTTGCTGTCAAATCAATAATGCAAGCCAACGAAAATCTATTTGTCTTTCTACACCTCAAGCACGAAAGAAAAATTCATAACAAGCTTCAGAAACAGTCGAGCAACGAAAAACAAGACTGGCAATCGCTCGAGTTTACAATGCTCAAGACCGTACATTTGACACAGTGGAGCAACGGAAAGCAAGACTTGAAACCACTCGAGTACGTAATGCTAAAAACCGTTCATCTGAAACAGTAGTGTAACTGGAAGCAAGACTGGAAGCAGTTCGCGTGCTCAATGCTCAAACCCGTTCGTCTGAAACAGCCGAGAAACAGGAAGCAAGACTGGATACCGATAGAGTATGCACTGCTCGATTCAGATGAACTCTGCATGCTGAATTAAATCTTAGTACATTCAATTACGATGCTAATTATGATTAAAATTTTCAACCAAGTATGTTTATTGAAAAAAATTGATAATTTATGCATGTATTTCAGTGCCTTGAAATTTAAGAATTGAACACCGGGAATGTGCTGCGCGGATGGAAATGTGAAATTGCGAGATTGTATTCACCACCCAAACCAATTTCAACGTTGGTATCAGGTGACACAAGCCAATCAAAATATTTACTGGCATAAATGCTCCACGGTTCTCCGGTTGATAAGTCTGTGGTGGCTTGTCCATTAGGAGGCGTCGGCCACCGACCCCATCGACGTTACCCAGGGAACACAACTACTGGGTGCGTCCTGCGTAGGCAGACAAGGGGTGTGCTCGGTACCTGCATGGCTGCCAGTTGTGATAGACTGAGACAGGGTAGGGAGCATGATTACAAGTTGCCGTTAATGGATATGAGGCGAGAGGCGAAGGTGGTAACCTCTGGCCAATGATTCTTACTAAGCAGCCCTGAGAAGTTGCTCCAAGGCAACCGTTTCGTCCCAGCTACATCGCGAATTAGTTGCGTTGTGGAAACCCACTGTAGAATCCCTCTTATAGGGCGTCTAAGGCTTCCCCGGGATGGGTGGGAGGAGATATTAGGACGTAAATTTTTCCATCCCGACTCCTGAGAAAGTCGATCGTGTGCACAGTGTGCAAACACAGTATCGGACCGACCGGGTGTCTTTGGGTTAGGACGGCCCCCGGCGGAGACCTTTGTCGCGCATACTCGGGGGGGGGGCGGCTGTCCTGATAAAGGGACATCCCCGACGTACCGCTCCGCGGCCGATACCGGTTTGGGGAGGGGTGTTTTTGGGAGGGCATAAAGAGCGCAAGCTCGATGGCCCGCTGACGCCATTTCTTAATGTAACAGTGACATAAATGAGGATCAAACGGTGCAGGATCTCTACTACCACTGCTTAACACAGATCACAAATTTCTTCAAATTTTGGAAATACTGATGAACACACCAATAAAATCAATAAGGGCACCAAACCAGAAATTGTTGCTGCATTGCAAATTTTATTCTTTCAACTCAAAGATTTAATTTGATTGTTCAGAAGAGCAATTGAACAATTTGCAAATTATGACCTTAAAATTGTATTTAGAGCAGACAAAACACCTGTTGGAAACACGAAAGACAATACAATGCACCAACAATTGATGGAGTGGCGATCGTTATAGTTGGAGAAGAATTAAACTCACGTGATATAATTCTTCATCGCAGAAATGATGATGTTCAGCGAGTCCAAAAACTCATCACTCATACGACTCTTTGCAATATCAATTTTGTTTTGTCAAGCAGAAGATGGATACTATTTCAACATCAAATTGAGAAATCCATAACTGCAATTCGGTGAAATGTACTAAGTACATTTGCTAATTAAGAAAGCGATATAGCAGTTTTTGAAGTTGAAATGGCTACTGGATCCATTAATATACACCAATATTAACTTGGGCATTACATAAATAGCAATGAAGCAGTATGGTGCATTGTGTAAATTTCAATCCATGAGGGTCATCTAACAATTTTAATTTGGCAGCGCCACTTAAAAATGGACAGCGCGTGTACGGCACAACAGAAAATGCACGTGTGAGAGCCTTGTCACCTCCGCCAACAACCTTAAATGCATTTTTCTCTTTTTGTGGGAATAATTTGTTTGCAAAGACGAATTTTTACTATGAAGTGCTAACATATTTCACATGAAATGAATCAGCGAATAAGTTTCAACATCGCAAACAGTGTAAAGCATTTGGAGAACACCCCAATTTATATTCAACCGACCCATAAGGCCGTCTGTACAGTGTTCACCCCAAAAATTCAGAATGCTTTTACCTGCGTTAAAGGAGAAGATGTTCAGTTGCCACGTATCCCATTGATTCCAACATGTATGCCATTTGAATTCAAACGTCTGCAGCTTAAGGTGCAACTCGCATTCAAAATGACCATAACAAAGCACAGGAAAATCGTTACAAGTTTGTGGACTAAATTTGGAAAACCCATGCTTCTCCCATAATCAGCCGTATGTTACACCAGACGAAAAAAGCTCTTCAAGAAACATAATTAAAACGCAAAAACCTTGTTTCTTAGAGTGGCATTGCAACGCATGTCGGGTACTCGCTAGTAAATAGATAAAAAAAAAAATCAACATTTGGTTACGTTTATAATATTTGGCCAATCGCAGCTGGAGACAATTGATCAAATTGATGTTTAGATGAGACAACGTAAAGACTTATCTAGAATCACCGTTAACTTTGAACAATTCATTCGCATAGCCTGCTTCTAAAGTATTTTCACAGAAGATATTGTATGCAACAATGGCCTCTCATTCAAAGAAATTTCTCGAACTCTGGCATACGCTTACTACAAGAATTTATACCATGTATTTATACAGCATAAAACTGAATATTAATTTCTTATTTATTGTTTATATATAATTCTAATAACAATTCATTTTAAATGCCAAAAGCGCATTAAGCTAAATGTGAATTTAGCAAAAGATTTAAAATTAATATTTGAAACAAAAATATTTGTGATTATTTTACAAATTTTTTCACTTTTACACATTTTTTGTTAGTGTTACGCATTGGCTTCTATTGTGAGAAATTAATCTCTTATTTTAAATTATTGGCTCGTTGTAAACAGTGCCTAACAAAGGACGATATCAAAGAGAAATACAATAGCAAAAAATACGACACTCAAAACAGTTGCTAATTACAATTAATAAGATTTTAATAAGTATATATATATAAAACAAAAGAAATATAATTACAAATTATCAACTTACAGAGTATGGTAGATCTTGTACCGGTACACAGTTAGTACAATGTGCCAATTAATAATGTACAATGACGAATGCGAATAACCCATATAAGTACACAAAGAATAATACAATTGTCTCGTAAAGTTAAGAATATCTATCTATCAATCCAATCTCAATCTCCGTCTCCCCTTTTAGATCTATGCGTCAGTAGAACCAACGCTTCTAGAAATGTCTTCTACATTGTTTATTTTTCTAGTCAATTATCGAAGTTTCCCCAAAATTCTATTATAATATATTAGTAATTTTTAGTTGGTGTCGGCAGTAAACACGCTAAGACAGGGGTCTCAAAGTCAAATCATCCGGTGGCCGCAGAAGATAGAGTCTGAGTGAGACTGGGCCGCATCAAGTTTTCCACAAAAGAACGATTACAAATTCAATAAGGTACAAGTGATAAAACCTTTATTAATAACAAATAAAAACATTAAGGATTCTCAAGAAATAGGCTTCAATTTCTTCTTCCTACTCCTCGTTGCCAGAGACATGGAAGCGCTTCTTCTTACACAGCTGAGCAACATTTGGCTTGAAGGAGGAAGCAACTGAGACCCTCAGTATAGATTGAAGATGCTCATCAGTAAGTTTGGCCCTGAACTTTGACTTTTTAAAGTTCATAGTGGATAAGAGCTTTTCACACACACATAGGTAATCGCAAAAAGGCTCATGATCCACTTGAACAATCTCAGGGAATGTAGAGGGCAATGCTTTCATAAATTGTCCATGCTTGTTTGTTTTTCCATTCACCTTCCTGAACTTAGAATTAAATTGAAGATCAAACAGCTCCATGTGAAACGCAAAGAGCGGTGGCGGGGGCATCTTCCACATTAAAGGAGACAGGGTGAGCAAAAAGTTGAAAAGTGGCTATGTGTGTTTTGAAGTCTAAAAACATGTCATCAAATTCTTCCTGTAGCTTTTCAATGGCATAATTATACTTAGTACTGAAAGGTGTGTACGAGTCCATGAGTACTTTGCATGTCGGGTAATGGCAGAGGTTTCTCTAGGAACCATAACTCAAGTTTTGTGCAGAATGCCCTTAAATTGTTATAGGCAACACTGACAAGCTGCCCCTGGTCTTATAACTTCTAGTTGAGTTTATTCAGCTCCTGTGTAACGTCTACAAGAAAAGCCAAGTCCATGAGCTATATAGGATCACTTACTATAGGAAAATCATATTTCTCCATGATGCTTTAAATGCTAAAACATGTTCAAGCAGTAGGCAGGAGCAGGTACTATTAATGAATTATTGATGCGAAGATGCTATTGTAGGGAAAATGAGGTTTAATTTTTTTTTAACGTAGAAAGGCTTTTTTTTTTTTAATAACCCTCCTTTGAAAGTGAACAAACTGACCTCTGACAGGCTCGGAATTTCCCTCACTCGCAAACACTAGCGGGTATTATAATAGGGAATCTTTGATACTGCATCATATTGCTACGATTAAACAATTATGGTTGTACATTAACCTCTAACTGACTTTTAACTTTTCTCAAAACAATACTTGTTTGTTTCATAAAATGCTATAACATAAAAACTTTTAGTCCGATTTTAAACGGTTTTTACCATTTTAATCAACGTCCAAATCTAGACAAATGTAATAAAAATCAGAATTAGAGTAGTTGGTGAGATTCGAATGAAACAGTAGTGGAGGGTCATATTATAGATGTATTGGTGAGGAAAACGCGCGGGCCGCATTATCACTAAACTTTGCTGTCATGTAGCGGGCCGCAAAATATCGTCTTGAGTTTGAGACCCCTGGGCTAAGATGAAAGAAAATAGGCCACACGTAATAAGAACGCGGTGTCAGCTATATTGGCAGCACGGGGGAAATGTGACGTAACATGTCCTACATAACAGTTAGTATTTGTATCGGCTATTATTTTTTGTAGTTATTTTGTCGCATCTATTCTAACACTAAATAAGATAATTTGCATGAAGTTAAAGGCTATACAATTTCAAAATCGTATTAAACATATCATAATTTACTAGGCATTTTTCTCATTCAAACTGACACGGTTACAAAATATTTCGTTTTCAAATCTAAAATACTGCTATAAAATATTAAAGATTATGTTTTTGTTCACCGGGGGGGGGGGGGAACTGAATATGCCCAGAGATAAGTTCACCCCGAGAAGCCCGTTGAAATAAAAAATAAAAAATCCATGGTAATTTTTAGTCCTATAAATGTGCTTGCTGTATCGTATACTATATTTATATCCGTGCCAGGGTTCGGAGCTACCTTTTTTAATGTGAATTCCTTAATTATATCTTAATCAACGCAGGTAGGGATAAAGGGTTTAAAGTAAACGGTTATTCTATATACGTAATACAATTTAGCCCCACCCTCTCCTTTTTTCCTCCTATTTCATAGGGCTTTGGGCTGTAGTTAAAATTATTTTGACCAGGTATAGATAATATGCATCAATGCAGCCCAAACCAATCCACCTGACATTTCAAATTAACTGATTTATAATGGGGAGGGAGGCAGTGCTGCTGAAAACCAACCTAAACCTCTTAATGCATTGATTTCAATGTGCAGACCAGTCGGTAAAATGTTTCAAGGCGTCGTGGAGAGGGTATGGCAGACATAGCGTGGCGGACAGGGCATTATTGGTTCATTCTCTCGAAAACCTGGATCTTTTGCCGTCAAAAAGTAGTAGCAGTCATATTAACGAACTACCAAACTACTTCACGAGCACGGTCTGGGCATTGAATTATTTTAGGAAAATTTCAGAATGGGATGCAAGGCTTGTAGCCTTAAGGACGATATCTTTTGGTTTATGTTAGGCTTTATTGGTGTCACCTTAGTAAACTGAAAGTTATTTTGGTAGAGCCAAGCTTTGTAATGAAAGTCTTCATTTTAAGATGAGTAATTACCTTCCATAAACGAGTTTTTTTATGTACTAGAATGTGAGTATATCTGTTATTTTTTTTATCGTTTTCCTTGCTTAGTTATCTTGCTTAGAAGGGGAAGAGAAAATGAATATGTTAGAGGGTTGCAAAAACTTAGCAAAAAGTATATTTATTTATAAGTACGTACTTAAAGACATACCTTTGGCTTATTGCCGTTTGAAGATGCCATTTCTTTACTGTCTGGGATTTTCGGAGACTTTGATATGTCCTACAGATAAAAGAAAAATTCAGTTGACATAGTTTAATTATATTTTCTTTTATGTAGACGTTATAAATATTATATAACGTATGTTGATGGAGAAAAGTCTATAAAATATAATATCAGAAACATAGTATTTGTATTTCTATCTATCATTATTCTGATTGGAAAGAAAAGACTTCATCCTAACATTCCTTTGTTACTAATCTAACTAAAGCGAGTTTTAATAACATAAGGGTTAATTTAATATTATTGATTCATAAATAATAAACAAAATACATACCCCTGGCTCAGAGTTATCTAAAGATGCCATTTCTGAACTATTGCAGATTTCCTCAAATTTTATATCTCCTTCAGTAAAAGAAAAAGTTAAAAATTAGGATTCAGTTAAATGCCATTTAAAAAAATTTAGATGGATTAATCCACTATGCAAATTTTTAAACAATATAACCATACGCTATATTGTAACAAAAACTAATTCAAAACTAAAAAAGCAATTGAATGAGATAAATGGAATAGATCTGATACGTTACATTAGCATCTGGTTAAGGCCAGTTGGATAATGCTTGTGCACAGCAAACAGAACTGTGGACAACTAATTATTCCCTTTAAAAAACAAGAACAAAAACAAGGAAAAAAACAAAAGTAAAAACATGATTGAAATTTCCTGAGAAGATGATATCTCTTTTTTGGAAAGGCGTATTTAGGAAAGATACATACTCGAGCTCTTATCACTACGCGAGGCGGTCCAAAGTATCATGAGCTGTCTGAATATGTAATCAACATAGATTATTTAGTGCAAATCTGTTTAAAACTGAGTGCAGGCGAGATAATATTTTATATTTGAAACCATGTTAGAACGAAAAAAATTACGTACTGCTCAGTGTCTTGCACTGGTTTTCATTATATCACAATGTGTGGGGCATTTAAGAGGCTTATAGTTAGTGTACAACACAATAATAATAATAATAAAGTTTATTTGAAAAACACGCTTCATCCCCAAAAGCTCGGAGCGCGGTACAAAGTCAACCATATTAAAATTTAAATAAAAAAATAAAAAAAACAAAACAACAAATAATATAAAGCTGCCTCATTTAGAAACAGACGCAACAATATAAAACTACATACGAGCATACCAAGTCAAAGTCTTTCATCCCATTTCAACCATAAGCAACACAATCCAATATACATTAACTGGAAAAAGATGGTAGATAGCATCACCACAGAAGGTGTTTGTGAAATAAATGTGGTTTTAAATTGGTTTTAAAGGAATCCAGTGTCAGGATGTTTGTGAGAGTGACAGGAAGGCGTTCCAAATTGTTGAGCAAGCAAATGCAAAATTGCTCTTTCCGTAAGTCTCAAGGCCATCACACGGTATTGATATTTAGTCACTATCGGATGAGCGGAGCTCTCTAGTGGGTACATAAGGCGTCATGAGTGCTTTGAGAAAAGATGGTGCCAGGTCATGTAAGCAGCGGTAGCAAAAAGTTGCTATTTTGTACTCTATGCTTGCGTGGACCGGCAGCCAATGCAACTCTCTCAGAAGTGTTTTAGCATGGTTAAATTTGCGTTTGCTAACAACAATGCGAGCCCCATTATTCTGTGCTTTTTTAATTTTATCCAGAAGCGTAGCTGGGAGACCCACCATGAGAGCATTGCAGTAGTCCATGCGTGATAACACGAATGCAGACATCAGCCTCTTTGATGCTTCGAACGTTAAAAAAGGTCTGATATGACTAATCCTAGGCTGCTCTAGAAAAATTACCTTGCAATGCATGTTAATGCGTCTTTCCATAGTTAGTGTTCTGTCTAAGTAGACACCCAGGTTTCGCACTGTTTGAGCAAACTCAATCTGTACCCCTGAGAGAGTAAGTGATGTGTTTTTTACAGATTTTTTTTCTGAACAGTGGCAATGGGGATCAGCTCAACATATACATAATATAACATAAGGAATGAAATCAGCTATGAACTAAAAAAATTTCGACCTTAACAAATGGTACTTTCCTACACTGACAGGATACAAACTAATTGGGGCTAAATATTAAAATTTATGATCACTTCCACAAACACTAATTATACTATTGATATAAAATTAAAACAAACCCCAATGCTTGTCTACATCTCGGTTAACCAAAGCATACACTTTGTGAGGTAACCCCCTTCCCTTAACTATGTGATAATTCAAATCTTATATTCAATGCCCCCTTCTCTTAACCATGTGATAATTCAAATCTCATGTTCAAGCTCCCCCCCCCCAACTCCCAAACTATTTGACAATTCAAATATCATGTTTAAGATCCCTTCGCACGCACACACACACATCCATACTCACATATCCATCCATACACTTCCATACTACCATACTTTCTTACATTGTCCAACACGCATTTCCTTTTATTTATATAATATTGTCATAGTTTATCTATTGTTTAAGTAAAATATTTCAATGGGTTTTGAAAACTGTGTGCACCTAACAAAATATTATACCTTGACAACATGGTGCTCTTTTAGAACTCTCGAAATGACGACTCCTACTCATATTAATATTTTCTTGGTAGCTAACATTTACAAAGTGCAACATGGGGCCGTAGAATCCCACTTTTGTCCCTTATAGATGCCCCACTGATCCCGTTTTCATCCACATGTCCCGATTTCAAACTTAAAACTTCTGGTATCATAAAGATAAAATTTGGTAATAACAATAATATGAGAGAGGTCTCCTTTGCCCCCTCCTCCAAGTATCACATGATCAGACCCTTTTCCCCCATCCTCATTTTTTTATCATATTCTTACCACATTTCCCATGTTTTTTAAATCGACCATGAACTGAATTTTAAAAAAAAAGCAAGTGTTGTCTATTATTTGGAGAATATTATTCTACTTATACTTTTTAAAAAGATGCAATTGTGATCTCTCAATAAAAAAGTGCTGAAAACCTTCCTTTAAGTATTCTTTAAAAGCTCAATATTCTGAATTATTACAAATGCACCCAACAAAAAATCTAATCTTGAACGTTACATACTTTTGTTAGCTGTCTTGTCAAGTGATTCAAAATGTATTTTTGTTTACTCTTTACATTCTAAATTATATACTTTGTGTGGCATTTTAGTTGTGGTCGTTAATTAGTTTATTTTAAAATATTCCAGATAATTAATTAATTAATTACATACATACATACATACATACATACATACATACATACATACATACATACATACATACATACATACATACATACATACATACATACATACATACATACATACATACATACATACATACATACATACATACATACATACATACATACATACATACATACATACATACATACATACATACATACATACATACATACATACATACATACATGCATGCATGCATACATACATGCATGCATACATACATGCATGCATACATACATAGATACATGCATACATACATACATACATAGATACATGCATACATACATACATACCTACATACATTCATACATACACATACATACATACATACATACATACATACATACATACATACATACATACATACATACATACATACATACATACATACATACATATAAAGATACATACATACATACATACATACATACATACATACATACATACATACATACATACATACATACATACATACATACATACATACATGCGTGTGAACTGCCACAATGAAAATGACATATTATTGTTATTTGTATGACATAATTGGGCATTTATTTATAAACTTACTATTAGTTATTCCTTGTGAAAGAACCGATTTTTGTGTAAAAAATGGATCCTTTCTAGTTTATCCGGATAAAATGAACTCAAATGTTCTTGAACGACATCTTTAAGATGTTTTTAACTTAAGTAACAACTTTTATTAGAATTATTATTGCTATTATCATTATATTCATTTTGATATTAAAAAAAAAAAAGATTAAAGTGGATTTTATTGAATTCTAGTCTCAAATACTTTTTAAAAACTGTAAATCCCGTTCTCTTTATATTTTAACCTGTTTCTAGTTTCTAAAGAGTTAAAATATTAAATTTGTGTTGGTAGTCGCTGTCGATTGCCTTACTTTCTGTAACGGACTATGTTTTCACATGTAAACAGAGAGGTAGCATGAGTGGACAGTGAGTGTGTTCACCAGGTTTTTCCACGGGGAGAGACAATCAATGTGGATTGTATTTTTGAGAACAAATGTGAACTCCACGTTTTTGGAGAGTAAAATTATGTTTTTGTCAGAGCGGTTGTTTTGCACGCTTTGCTGGTAATAAAGTATGAGTTGACTGATATAGTAGAGAGCTGAGCGCAGAGCAGTAGAGTCAGTAGCGTGAGAGCTGTGTGATTAGACAGTTGACAGTTTAGTATGAGGACTTGTCTTTCTTAATGATGGAATACTATAGATATATATATATGTGAAATTACATTCATGCAAGGATTATTTATTAATATTATCAATATAAAGTGTGTTCAATAAAGTACTGTAAGTTTAACCAGGATTCAGTATTCTTATTTGCGTGCCCGGATTATAAGTGGAAGAATGAAGAAGCCTTAGTCGGCATCCTGAAATATCAACATAACATAAGTAACCATACTACTGACATAACCCACAGCATAAGAAATAAGCTCCCACGCCATGTCAGAGTAGGTGTGTTACAAATGGTGTCAGAAGCGGTGTAACGACGATGCGTTACAAATATTGTAAAGAAGTGTCAGAAATGTGTTACAGAACATTGAGTAACAACGATATATTTTAAAATTCGAGCGGAAGAATACAGCGAACGCCATTACGACCGTGTATCAATCAAGTCCGAGACGAGTTCACTACACACAGAGCTAGCCGACAATTGAGGTCAGTCACAGTCTCAAGAGTTCAGAGTTCAAAGCCAACTGGTACACGGCAACTAGCAGCATAAGGAAAATTTTCAAGTTATTTACAACTGTAGCAAAGATTTACTGTAAGCCTACATATTACAAGACCAACAGAAGTAGAAGTCTGACGTTATTACAGATGAGATGTGTGTATCAAGACATCGAAAGTAAGATTTCCCCAGCATAATCTTCACTTTATACAAGCCGCACAAAGCCTAGTGCGCATTTCAAGTAAAGTAATTCTTTAATTACTCACAAGTTCAACTGAATCGGAGAGAAAGTACACTATTTTCAATTGGATTATTACACTATTACTTCTATTACGCAAGGTACTTGCATTGGATTATTGAAGCAGTTTGTGTTGTAACTTTTTCATTGGATTATATAACTTTTGCATTGGAGTATTTACCCAAGTACACTTTCTACATAGAAGGATTATCGACTACACAGAGATCATAGCGTCACAGAGGAGCAGAGGTGACCAACTACAGATTTCTTTTAAACACTTGGTATTTATGTATTTATGTGTTATGTATTATATATAATTTAAGACTTTAAAAATCTACTTATATCATACTTAATTAGATTAAGTAAATTTTTTCTTTTTCTGTATAATATAAGTTTAATTTTAGAGTATACTGTAGGGACATCCACGGTGTTATCTTTCCTAGGGAAGTTTTTTTATTAAAACGGTAAAGGTTTCTTCTGGCCCTATTTATA